CTAGATTATTTATCCGAGTTAAGACGTGTAACAATATCATTTATTCATTTGGACATAAGTGACGATAATCAAACAGATTTATGTTCAAAAGTTCAAAGTGTATTCATTAAAATATATGAATCGACAAAGACGAAAGGAGGTGTACTCACTAAAGCACTTGCCTTCGATAAGGGTTGGAGTTTTTTATGTGTATTTGGACTACCTGGTTACAAAAGTAATGATGATTCAGCGAAGGCACTCAGATGCGCTTATGAAATTCACAGCGAACTAAAACAATCAGAAAAATATCCATTTGTAAAAAAATGTTCTATTGGCGTAAGAAGTGATTAGTATGAATAGTTTAACATTCTGAATAGAGAGGCGAATAACAGACGGTATTAAAATATTCATTTATCTCTTTTGTTTTCTCTTTTTTTGAGGTAGGTGACAACTGGATTAACATATTGTGGTATTGTTGGTCATATTGAACGATGTGAATATACTGTTATTGGTCGTAAAGTTAATATGGCTGCACGTTTAATGTGTAATTATCCAGATGTTGTTAGCTGTGATAATGAAACATACTATAATTCAAGATTAAATTCAAAACATTTTCAATCACTTCCCGATAAACAACTCAAAGGCATGACGAATGTTGGTGTCATATGGCAGTACGATGATTGTAATGAAATACATCGACGAGGTTCATTTCACACGTGATCATTGGGGATCATAAAGGATGAGAATATAAATGAACAAGAAGTTGCTTATGCTGATAATTATCATGGATATTGTTATCCATTGTTAGGGCGAAAAATTGAATTAATGATTGTTGCAGCACAAATTAGTTTACTAGATGAATCAGTATCATTCAAAGTTGACAACAAACATCGTTTGTTATCAGCAATTTTATTTGAAGGTGATGATGGAGTTGGTAGAACGCGCTTTTTAGGATACTTGGCGGATGTATTTGAGAATATAAATAAGGGACATTTGTGTTCGAATCAGTGTCAGCATCATACATCAAAAAATTCAAATGCCGATCAAGCACAAATTTTAAATGATGGTGGCATTAATCTATCATCGCCTAGTTGTTCATCCTGTTCAGGCAACGTCCGAGTTACTCGAGTCATACACCACCGTGTTAATTTTGAACAACGTTATTCGGAATATTCATTGTTACGAAATATACTAAGAGATTTATTACAGTTTAATACCAGAACACTTCATGAAAAAGAACATTTATTACTAAAATTATTTGATACAAATAATTCAGCTGAACTTCTATTAAGAAAATATTTATTTTTGCTCAATGATCTGCTCGATGTGAGATTTCAGCAACATATGGATGTGACAACAATTACAGACGATAATGATAAAACATCAGCACAAAATTTTATGCGGTCGTGCGAAGAACGTATTGATGAACTGTTGCGGCACATTCTGAATAAACTAATCGATTCCTCTTCAACTAATGAAAATTCTACCACATCCTCTGTTTCTTCAACATCGGATTTATCTAGGTAAAATAATGAACCTCACTAACATTATCGATATTTATCAATGTTATATCCCCGTGAACGATTTGAACTGATGGTCAATTTGATTCTTCTCAGAAATAGTAGAAGCTTATACTCTCACGTCACTCATTGTCAAAATAGTAGAAAATGACCTCTTTCATCTCTCGATGACAATATAGTATTAGAAAAGAGGATTACTGACTTTGTGTGCATATTCAAATCACCTAACTTTTTTCGTTTCATTTAGACAGCAGAAACAGAAGCAAACTTCGTCAGCTCCATCTCCACCAGTTTCTGTAGTATCAAAAGTTTTGTTTATTATTGATGATGTGCACTTCGCTGACGAAAGTTCGCTAAAACATTTATTAACATTAGGAAGTCACGATAAATCGCTGGTCATTATGTCAACGAAACCATTACGGAATACAGATCAAACAGTAAAAACATTGGGATCTATCATAACAGGTAAAATCTGTTTTTGCCAGATAATGTTTAGGGAATATATACTGAAGTTTTCATGCTATTAATTTTTGTCTGAGCTTCTTATATGTTGAAAAACATTTTTCTATGATGAATTTTTTAGAGTTCACAGAGGTGCGTCTCAAAACATTATACTTATTTCTTCCTCAGCATGTTCATTCTCTCATAGATCTTTCCTAACAAACTATCTAGGTGATCACGTTTCCATGATTTCTCCTTTCTTTGACTGTATAGTTCCCGAACATCTTATGCTTTCTTTCGTTTTCTGAATAAGAAAAGTATCTTTCAGACAAACAATCTACCAGTAACAATGTTCTCAAAGCGTTTATGTAATTTCTGTCTGATGAGTTAATTTTTGTTTTAGATTCTCGTGTTTATCGTCGAAAACTAACGTGTTTAGATAATCAATATTTAACAACATTAGGTAATTTTAATGTACAAATTTCATTTTATATTTTTTTAAATATTTTTTCTAACTTACTTTAGGATGTCAAATACTTCATGTACATCGACTACCAATAAAATTATCTAAATTATTAAGTGACCGTTGTAATGGTATACCAGGTTTGTGTGAACAAATGTTATATGATCTTACTCGTAACGATAAAATATATATTGTCGATAAAAATGAAGAAAAAAAAATTGAAGAACAAGATAACGAATTAGTAGATGGTGATCCACAACTATTAATACCATCGAAACAAAGTGGATTATTGAAAAACATATTTCATCATGATCAGACATCATTATCAACAACAACGAATAATTCAAATAAAAAATTAGCAGTTAGAATTAGCGATACAAACAATACAAAAATGGACTGTCTACAACGTGTATGTTTAGTGAAAAATAATGAAACTTTGGACATTGATTTACAACAAAATTTTCAAGATTATATTCTCTGTCGCATCGATCGTTTATCCGAAGGTGAAAGTTTATTAGTTAAAATTGCATCTGTTGTTGGTATTACGTTCTCCCGGTAAATAAACACTTCATTGTACTCATATTACTTTCATAATAGAGTAGTATTTTATTATATACGCAAAATAACGAATATAATTAATCCGTTGTTATTTTGTATATAAAAATAAATCATATCTTTGTTTTCTTTTTTCTAGAAATTTTTTATTATCTTTACTTGATACGAGTGCAAAACAATCGATGAACATCAATGAATGTTTGGTTGAAATGATGCAACGTTCAATTATCGAGTGTGCAATGAGACGAGAAGCAACAAGTTTACGACGTAGACCTCAAGAACAACAGTCGTCCAATAATCTGACAGTCTGTGAGAGTCGTCAAATAAAATGTTATTGTCGGAATAATGCATCCGGTATGGCATTTATGTGTAAACTGATGTCATTTACACATCCGACAATTCGTGATGTCATTTATAATACATTAACAGAAATCACAAAACAAATGTTACATCAAAAGGTAGTATCTTATCTCGAAGAATGTAATCCATTGTGTCATTCATGTGGTGGTACTGAGCCACCGTTCTTAATTCATTATGAATTAGAACAAGTTTCACAACAAAATCACCAATCATTCGTCAATATTACACTAATGGCACTGAAAAAAATTGATAATGATATTAAACAACAAGTGAGACAACGTGCAGTGAGTGAACCACATAAAAGTACGATATGCTCCACATCACATTTAAAAACTACTTTTGCACCATCATCATCAATGTTTTATTCAAATGAAATCAATTCAAAATTTAATCAAAGATCTGTTAGTGATCCACCAATACCTAATTTAGACAATAAATCGAGTAGTTCAGATAATAAAACGCCAATAAAGTAAGTTAAATTTTTAATCAATCTTAAGGGTCCCCCCGTCAGAAATGGTGATTTTCGGTCAAAAAATCGGTTTTGAGATACGCGCATGAAAAGATAGTCTGAAGTGTCTACTTCCAGAATCTGTATTGCTTTTGGTTACAAAATTAGTTTTTTGGGGATTTTGAGCAAGTTTTCTAAGGGCCTCGAAAACCCGGGTCTTCAAATAATAGTGTTTTCCTGGCTACTTATGCAATTAACATTTTTCTGACCATACAGATTTGTAGAGCAAACGTTTCTGATCAAAATAAGATCTCGCACGACCTTGTATGGTCTTGCATCAAAAAGTTACAGGCATTTTCCTAGAAGTCCTAAAATCGAGTATTTCATACAGCGTTTAATACACCTTTTTCTGTATATAAGAGTTACAAAATCTTGGGACGCACCCCATCATCTCATTCAATCTTCTTCATATCTATCGAATAGCATACAAGCTAAAATATAATAACTCATTTTTATGATGTTTCTTTAGAGAAACTGAGAAGATGACTGAAAACAAAACAACAGCTACGTCTCCTACTGTTGAATCTACGTCTACTCCAAAATCAAACTTATTGTCGTTCGGTCAGCTTGGANAAAGAAATAGCACCACCAGCAACAAATTCCATAAACGAAAATGAAATAAAACCATTAGAAAATAGGGAAAATACTAATAGTGATCGAAAAATCCAAAAGAAGAAACGTGAAGACAATGAATATACAAACGGGATGATAAAATCAAAAAAAACAACTAACAAACGCAAAGATCGGGGTCTAATACTTCGATTTCTTTGTTGTACTTTAATGTCAACTTCATCTATACACGATAATAACTCCAACAATGAAGATGATCAAAATACAACTAATGTAGTCTCAAAACCAATAACTGTTAAAGAGCCTGTGGCCAAAGAAGAGCAAATAAACGATGCAGACAAAACGGTAAGAAAATTAGTAAAAAAAAAAACATTCATTTTTTCAATCTATTTGTTTAGGACAACAAAGAACAATTAACTACAGACGAAAATAAGAAAGTATCTAAATGGAAACATGTACGTGAATCTTTATGTCAATTGGCAAAAACTTATCGTGCTGAAAATAGTATGAAAAATTTCAATAATGAAGATTTATTTAACAATATTAAACAAAAGTTACAAGCCCATTTTCAACTATTAGAACAGAAACAACAGTCAATTTCGTCAACATTTCTACAACTATACGAAGAATCGAACACATTTCTTACATTTGAATGTAAGTACAGTCGAACAAATGATGAATTAGAAGAGTCTACTACTTTTCAAAATATTTTTGTTTACTTTTTCATTTAGCATATGAACGTTATAAACTTTTGACAATTCATGCATATCATAATGAAACATCAACGAATGCTCAATCACAAGAAAATTTAGAACATAGTGAACAACATAAAATATTATCAAAAATAAAAGATTGTAATTTTACAGAATTATTAAAGTATTTTAAACATCCTGATCTTCATTGGCCAGATCTAAGTGCATGTCAATGTGATGATCTAGTATTAACTGTTTATATTCATCTTGTTGATCATTGTTTCATATTGAATAGAATTGAAGAAGTTTTATATTATAAAATAAAAATATGTAAACTATTATTAAAATGTAATTGTTTACAACGAGTATTAATTGAGATTGAAAATGGACGAAAATTAGCCAATGAACATGTTTATTATTATCTCTATTTTGATTTATTAGAAGCAACAGTTTTATATCGAACACGTTGTATTGCTAATGCAAGAAAATTAATTGATAATGGTTTAAATAGTTTAAATCAACTTCATAAAGAAGTTGAAGAAAAATTACAAAAAGAACAAGAAAAAAAGAGAAGAAAATTTTCTATGCAACCAAATCAAACAGATACGATTGCTTTTAATGTATTATCACGTAAAATATCATTATCAAAAGCTGACCAACAATCGCTGGATTTAGATGAACAAACTCAACGATTCAACCATCAATTACTCCCGGTAATATAATTAATTTCATTTTATAGAGTAAAAAAAATAATTTTGTTGTTTTTTTCTATATTTTGTCTAGAAACGTTCCTCGATTGTTCAATTACTGGCCAACCATGAATCTATATATAATGTTTATTCATTTGAATATTTAAAATGTCAATTTTATGTATTACAATATAAAATTGGAAAAAGAATAGATAATCAAACACTTATAGATGAATCAATTCAAACAATTTTAAAATATCCCTATTATAAATATCCATTTTCATTTTCTTGTTCATGTACAATTTTATTAATTGATTATTACTATGAACATTATGAATATCAAATATGTTTAAATTTAATTAATCAATTTATAAAATATTGGTGGTTAATTAGTGGATCAAGTGAAAAATTAGAATTTGCTAAATTAATCACACTATCATTAATAATTCAATTAAATCAAAATAATGTTGGACGTTCGATTCATTGTGGTTATTTTTCTACAGACGTATTAAGTCGTTTTCATGAAAATATATTTTTGGTTGAAACATTAATTCAATTAACCTATTCACTTTTGTATAAAATGGGCTTATCTAGTATTGAAAAGATTCTGGATAATCTTGACGATATTAGTAATCAAACATCTAATTATTATACAAAATTATGGTATTATATACTTGTTATTGATGTAGCTGTTGAATTTGGATATGAAATTCTACCAATTAATTTAAAATTTTTAAATTTATTATCAAATTATCGAAAAAAATTAACAGACAATAGTAAACAATTATTCTATGTTGATTGTTCACTAGCTCAAATATATTCAAGAATAAAAGAATTTAAATTATCTACAAAACATTTTAATAATGCATTAACTATGTTCTCATATACAAAATTATCAATGAATGATTTTAGTGTTCAACGAGCTCTTTTCAAATTAGCTGAAGTACAATTGTTAAACTGGTGGTATCAAGTTAAATATAAACACTATACAGACATTGTATCGGTGACAAAAGAACATTTTCTCTATACGTACATTAAAAATTTATTACCAAAAGAATCAAAACTATTATTATCAAGATATTATATTTATGATGCCTATTATTCTCGATTAGTAGAAACATATCAACAATCTTTGTTAACATCATTACCAACTAATAAACAAAATGATACATGGATAATGAGTATACAACAAGCAAAAGATTATGCTGGAAAATATTCAATTAAACTAGATTGTGAATGGATTAATCAATTGAATACACAATGGTCGAATAAAGTATCAGAAACAAAATCCATAACAAAAAAAAAAATTGCTTCATCTGATGCTAATGCACCTTCTATGATAACAAAATATTTGCCTAGAAAATCAATACCATCTGAAAATCAGTTGAATGTACCACAATACATTGATAAAATAATGTTTTATAATGATGATGTAGGGAAGCAAAAGTTTATCGATCAGCGTCTTTATAATTCAAAAAACAGTGGTCAATTTCTTCTTTATATGTTACCCGTGATTGTATAACGTTTATTTTGTATGTTATTTGTTTTTCCAAAAGTATTCCGGTTCATGTTGTTGTTTTTTCTATCTATTTGTTACTATTTCCTGTACGAGAGACAACTCGAGCATATTTTTTAATAAAAATATTTTTTGCCACATAATCCAGCAATAATGGATCAATTGAAAAGATGAATAATATTTATAGATACTCTCAAACCATTTCAAAATAATATTGTTTACAACATTTTTAGTATATAATACGAAAAAACTAACTAGATCTACATAAAGTCATATAAGCGTAAATAGATAACTGTTGTAGAAAAATGTTTTAAATAATTAGATATGATAGTTTTTTCTATCAATTTTCAATTGATCCGAGTTTAGGTACACTTCTTGTTACAAGCTGATTGAATAGAGATAAACGGCGGATCTGTAGGAAATTTTGAGAGAACGTTTTATTAATCAGCGTTCCACACTTCACACAAAAATGGGATCAGTTCGTGTGGTCCAAAATATCTTCGAAATAGATGCTGGAGGGGGGGGAGGGGGAAGAGGCTTAGATAAGTTGTATAATGAAGCTCATACATGCATCAAGAACATGACAGAGTCCGATATATTTTCAGCAATTTTCAGACCATGTTGGATCCGCCACGCACATATTCAAGGGATATAAAGCAGATTTAAGCCCCAATTGTGGACTTTTAAAGTCTATGGAAATCCAATTAGGTCTCTACAAGCCTAGGGACTGACAGAGACTTTTATGGACCCCAGTACTTA